AGAACTGATTAATTAAAATTCTGTGTGAATCTGACAAACAGCCTTGGGTGATTTTTTTTAATAATTCAAAACACTCTGAACGTTTCTATAGACATGAATTTAAAAACAGAGAAATCAGGAGGAAAAAAAGTTAATTTAAGCATTATTATCATTAACTAAAACTTGTTATTTTAAGCTGAAATAAAATCTAAATATTAAATGAAAAAATTTAAATGTTGCCTTGGCAACTATGAAATATGTCGAGGTTGAAGCACTAAAATAAAAATAAAAATGAAATATTAAATATAAAACTATTAAAATGAAAACTGAAAATATAAAATTAAAAGCAGTTCACTGGGTGAATGTTGATGAATTGAAATTCTATGTGAATCTGATTAACTGAAATTCTATGTGAATAGAATAAAACTGAAATAAAATAAATATTAGATGAGAGACTTAAAAATAAAAACACATCAATAAATAAAAAAAATAGAAAAAATTAATTAAAACTAAAACTGAGTTTAAAAAACACATAAAATCGCCTAAAATTAAAATAAAAAAATGGAGATATAAAAATAAAAGTGATTGAATAATTTGAATAAAACTAATTAAATTTAATAAAACTATATAGAATATAAATACTAAAATAACAGATTAACTGAAATTATATGTGACAGAATAAATTTGAAATAAAATATAAATATTAGATTAAAGACTAAGAAAAAAAATTAAAAGTTTCCTTGGTACACTAACCTAAATAAGTTTAGGTTGAAGAACTAAAATTAATACCTGTAAATAAATAAAAACTAAAACTGAAATAAATTAAACCTAAATAGTAATGTTAAAAAAACTATAAAAACTAATATAAATGACAAAAGCACATAACAAAATAACTAAGAATTGAATTAAATTCAAAATGAAAACTGAAAATATAAAAATAAAAGCAAATTAAAAATTTGAATAAAAACTAAGTACATAACGGTAACAGTATATAAATAATACTAAAGTATAGTATATATATAAAAATACTAAAATAACCAATAAAGTTCATTGGGTCACTCACTAAATTAAAATGAAAACCTACAAAGAAATATTTAAAAGAACAAAAACTAATAAAAATGACAAAAGCTTAAAACTTACAAATAATAAAAACAAATAAAAAAATAAAAGCAAATCAATAAAATACATGTAAATAAAAAATACTAAAATGGCACCGATTCTAGCCGATATGGTTTTAAAGATATAAGAACAACATAAATGTGCTTATAGACGTCATTGATTAATGGTATTGCTACTGATTGACTGGGATTGTGTTATTAAGTCGGTCGTCTCTTCGCTTTACGTTGTTTTGCGAGAAAAATCCTAGTAAGAAAATCAGAACAAAAGCACCTTTGAAGCGCAGTACAATATTAAAGTCTCATGTTTTTCAGTCACTGAGAGCATCTGCTAAATGATGAATATAAACTCAGGCCTTTTAATCCTGGTGTTGTGTGGATGTGCTGGTCTCCATTAATGAACCGTAGGCTGTCTCACTGCTAGTCGAACGGTAGTTGCGGCTAGGATTTCCGCCAATCTCTTAAGTTTGCTGCAGGCACTGGCTGTTTTTCCTATTCTCGGCTGTCCTTATGTGACCCAGCGGCTCATGCCAAGTTCTTAACAGAGTTTGTTGGAGGTAACGGGGTTAGGAGCCAGCAGCATATATCATCTGCGCTTTTCTACACTCTTCTTGTGTCTGTCACATTGTTAAAAATGCATAACTAGGACGTCTGAAGTATGCATATGTGATTAGGAAAAAAAAACTAAAGAAAAAAGACACAACACGTGCCCTCAGGACAAAAAAAAATCATGTGTGCACTGAAAAAATGGGTGTAGAAATTACTAGTAAATTTCTAAAATATTTATAAAGAAACATCAAGTAACATTGAATTTAACCATTTTTTTTAAGTACAAAACATGACAGTATTTTCTTTTAAAACACACTACAAAAATCTTTTTTATTTACAACTCCAAAAAAATTATCTTTTATAGTGTACTGACAGATAGAAATCACTTATTGAGTATAAGACATTTCTAAAGAATTTTCTTAAATGATGAACTTTAAGAATACCTTGTCTTGATAAATGACCCTTTTATATTGTGTGTGTGTGAGTGTACTACAATTCTGCTCCACTAGCATCACCAAACTACAAAACATCAACATAATGACTGTTTTCAAACAGGTTCCCTGAACACACCATTACTTACTGCTGGGATACTGAAGTAAATTATAAATGCATTGTTACTCCTGTCATTTTCAGCAAAGTTAGTTTGTTTTGACATTAATGGGAGCTATGAAGTACCTCAGATGTTTTTTGAGATTTTCAGTGCGGAGGTCCAGTTTTCCCGCAGATAGATGTAACAATTGATCTGAAAAAGTGTGTCAAGCATTGTATCACAAGGAGTACAGGGAAGGGATTTTGTTTACAAGGTACGTAGTGTTTTCCCCTGTAAATAGGTTTCTGTGGAATAGGTAAAGTTAGGATTTAAGCTCATTAGCTTATAGGCAACACTGAAGCAAATGAACAGTACATATAATACATTCAGTAGGGATCATGACATTTAGCATTGCACGTAAGCCTTGTTTATGCTGCTGAGAGAGTCTGGGTTTAATCTGTGTGCTCACACAATGCAATATACATACAAATGTACATTTAGGGCATTGCTTAAAATTCCCTAGTTTGGGAATATGTCATTGGAACTTATAGATTTATAGAATAAATTATTGATTTTGTGCATGCCTTGATTTGCGCTTATGTCTTTCGCTTTAAACGTCACACTGACTCCTCTGTGTGCATGACTGCATGGTCATTAAGTCATTTCAGACTGCTGTCGTTAACATTGCATGTGATGTGACATTACTTAAAATCAATGCATTAAAAAGTACAAAAAAAGTGTTGAATGTTTCATCTCTTTTTCTCTCAATTCCACCATTTTTGTCCATTAAGATGCATTTCTTGACATGGTGCATTATGTTTTAAAACTGCATTATGCATGCCTCATCAGTGCCATAGCATTAAACAGCGCGACTATTGTTATACATTCTGTCAAATCTAACATCTCTCTCTTTCAAATTCACCATCGCTGTATACATGATGCATTAAAACCACCAATGCATTAAATGTGTTATTTCTCAGTTAATCTAATTAAATTATCATTTGTCATCTATTTGAGCATATCTATCTCTCATTTCTCAAACTATCTCTCAAGTTTCACCAATGTTTTTTTTTATTATTAAGAAGCACTTTTGCATAATGCACTATAGCCACAAATACATTAAAAATCACAATTGTCTTGTCAAATCATCTCAGCATCTTTCTCTCGACTTCATCACAAGAAGCTCCTCTTGACGCAATGCATTAAAAAACTGTAACCTCTATCTCAGTGTCGCTTTCACGTTTGCAAGTTATGTCTTGACAGGATGAATTTAAACTACCAACGCATTAAAAAACTCAACTGTCATGCCAAACAATCTGTCAGCTTTGAGAAGCATTTTTGACACGATGCATTACAAGCACCGATGCATTCAGAAGTGGAGCTGTCAAATAATCTAACAAGGAAGTATATTGTTGTTTCTTTTCTTGACTCCAATTTCACTGCATATTCAGCGAGACATTTCATGAAGCATTTCCTGACTTGATTCATAAAAACCACCAATGCATTAAAATGAGCAGTTCATCAGATAATCATTCTGTCTCAGCATCTATCTCTTTCCTGACATCACCACAGCAAGTTTAACAAGCACATTTTGCATTAAGATGCATGTCATGCATTAAAACCACCGATGCATTAAAAAATGCAACTGTCAGGCCAAACAATCTAACATCTCAGCGTCTATTTCTCTCTGTATTTCTACAATTTTAATAAGAAACTTGACATGCGCTGGTATTCGGTAATATGATATATCACGATAATGAACATGCACGATATTGTTAATGTTAATGCATTAACTAACGTTAACTAATGACACCTTATTGTAAGGTGTTACCTATTGTACTTTATAATTCTTTTGCACTTTAATCTATTTGAAACATTTATGTAGACATTTGTGTATCGCTTTATTGTATTTAAATGTCCAGTTCTTTATGTTATATTAAAAAGTTATCAAACCTGTTATATTATGACAACACTTTTTTGCAACTTTTCATATATCGCGATAATACCGTATACCGTGATAAAAGCTGCTGCAATTATCGCAACATGAAAATCTGATACGTTACATGCCTATAAGAAACACGTCTTGACATCAAGGTAAACCACCAGTGCATAAACAACAAATAATCTAACATCTAGCCTATCTCAGCAGCTCTCAATGTCACCACTGAACTTTAATGAGAAACATGTCCTGACGGGATGAATTTAAACCATCAATGCATTAACAAATGCAACAGCAATGTCAAAACAACTAACATTTGTCTCAGCATCTCTCTCTCTCTCCTGACTTCAGGTCAAGTTTAATAAGAAAAACGTTAAGAAGCGTTAAAACCACCAATGCATTAAAAAAATGCAAGAATCTAACATCGATGACAGTATTGTTCACTGAGAAACATTTTTATGTGCTGCATTAAAACCCCCAATGCATTAAAAATGCAACATGACAGTTTAATAAGCGTGTCTTGCATCAAGAGGCATGTCGTGCATTAAAACCACCAATGCAACGCTCATGTCAAACATCTCTGTCTTGATTTCCCCATTGCAACAAGAAACATGTCATGACGTGATGAATTTAAACCACCAATGCATTAAAATAATGCAACTGTCTATCTCGTCAATCCATCTTTCTGTCGACTTGACCAAGTTCATGCCCTGACACGATGAGCCGGTTAAAAACGCAACACCTCTCTCAGCATCTTTTTTTGACGCGATGCATTACAAGCACCGATGCATTCCAAAGTGGAGCTGTCAAGCCATCTATCGAGCAGAATGGTGCGTTTGATCGCATCTCTCTCTCCCTCTCTCTCTCTCTCTCTCTCCTCCAGACAGGAGAGTTGACAGGAGGTAATCCCCTCCATGTGAGGAGGCGGCACGGGTGTGGAGGCGTGTTGTTTTCCATTCAAATCCTTACTAGACCTATAAAAAGCGGGACTCGGAGCTCGGAAGAAAGAGAGAGAGAGAGAGAGAGAGAGCGCGCAAAGAGAGAGAGAGAGAGAGAGAGCGCGCACGCCGAACGACACGGCTGTATCTGTACCTGTCCGGATGGGGATGGAGATGCTGCATGGATCCGCAGGTGTCCAAACGGTGAAGGCGCTGAAAAACGCCGCCGTATGCCTGATGCTGCTGCCGCGCTTCCTGTTCGCGGCCGTGATGCTGTGGCTCCTGGATTTCCTGTGCATCCGGAGGAAGGTGCTCACGAAGATGCGAGAGAGCGACCTGAGCAGCCCCGACGATCCGCCGCTCTGCGTGTCCGACTCCAACAAGATGTTCACGCTCGAGTCGCTGCGCGCCGTGTGGTACGGCCACAAGCTGGACTTCTTCAAGACGGCGCATCTGGGCGGCGCGGCGCCCAACACCGAGGTGGTTCCGCTGGACAGCGCGCAGCGGAGTGGCCCGCAGCGGATCCTGGACTACGCCCGAGGGAGGAGACCCCTCATCCTGAACTTCGGGAGCTGCTCCTGACCGCCGTTCATGACGCGCCTGTCGGCGTTCCAGCGCGTCGCGCGGCAGTACGCGGACATCGCGGACTCGCTGCTGGTGTACATCGAGGAAGCGCATCCGTCGGACGGCTGGGTGAGTTCCGACGCGCTCTACCAGATCCCCCGGCACCGCTGCCTGGAGGACAGACTCCGCGCCGCGCAGCTCATGAACCATGAGGTGCCGGGGAGCGCCGTGGTCGTGGACACCATGGAGAACTCGTCCAACTCGGCGTACGGCGCCTATTTCGAGCGCCTCTACATACTGAAGGACGAGAAGGTCGTGTATCAAGGCGGCAGGGGTCCGGAGGGCTACCGGATCTCGGAGCTCAGAGACTGGCTGGAGCGCTACCGGAACGATCTGGAAGCTTCCAAAGCGGCGACGGTGGTCCACGTTTAAGACGGATGCACGGATGGATGTTTTCCTTCCCTCAGCCCCACTCTCGCGTCCTTATTGTGAAGTCATTGGCCGTGTTTCAAAACCTAGCGACCGTCTGCGCTCTCGATGTTTTCAAAAGTTCCATTATAGCTCCTACAGATCAGTGTTTGGGGTTCTGCAAACCTCGCAGTGAAGTCATCGGTGGCGTTTCAGTCTACACTTTCTCAAACATTGAGAAGGTCTTGATGCACTGAACATGCACTGAGCCAGGCTTTTCAACCAGGGGTCCATGCACTGTAAAAGCACTTTCTCAGGTAACCTAGAAATGAAAATTACATTAGGTTACACCAATGAAAGCATTTTTAAGGGTTGCACATTTCACTTTTTTACAGTGTGGACCCCTGGGGGCCCGTGAAGGTACTCCAGGAGAGAACATTTTATACATTGACATTTCTAACTATGAGCGCTGGTGGTTCACATGTAGGACGGATGGATGTTTTTCCAGCCCGGTCTTGTGTTTTTAGATTGAAGTGATTAGCTGTGTTCAAAACTCAGTGACTGTCTGTGCACTTCTCACTTTGTTACACTGTAAGGTTCTTAGAATAGATGCCAAAAGGCTCTTTGGAAATTAAAAAGCAGTTTTTGATGTTTCTGATCAATGTAAAAAACTAGATCCAGGGTTTTCAACTACAGTAGGAGAGAAGAAATGCTGCTTAAACCATTTGAAAACACGTACTAATGATCTTACAGCTTATATTTTTAATAAAGGTTGTTTTAAAGTGCCGTCAAGAAAATTGAGCTTTCTGTACTGTATCTGTAAAGGTTGAAAACCCTTGAGCTAGAGGATAAAATGTTCACCTGCCCATATCAAACATGCATTTTGTGCATCTCAGGTGCACTTGATCCCCACTAGATGCACAGCTCGCTAGGTTTTGAACACAGGCGTCAAATCAGTGTCTTCAGCTGCTGCTACAGTCAACCGCAATACTGCAAACGTCGGGTTTTAGTTTCATGCATACAGTTATCTAGACAGATGTTTATGTTGCCAGTGACCATGCGATCGCATGATAGCTGTTGTGCTTTTGTCTCTGTTCTTTAGGCCTACTTGTTTTATATCAATCCAACCTGGCATTTATTTGAGATATTGCAAAAACGGTATACCTATATCTGAAACATATCCTATTTTATTTTTGTATGGTATATTTCCCTTGTGAGTGCATGTGTGTGTGAGTACATGTGTGTGTGTGTGTGTGTGTGTGTGTGTGTGTGTGTGTGTGTGTGAGTACATGTGTGTGTGAGTACATGTTTGTGTGTGTGTGTGTCTGAGTACATGTTTGTGTGTGTGTGTGTGTGTGTGTGAGTACATGTATGTGTGAGTGCATGTGTGTGTGTGTGTGTGTGAGTACATGTTTGTGTGTGTGTGTGTAAAAGATTAATATTTTAAATAATAGTATAATGTTAACACTTTAAAAATAAATAAATAAACAAACAAACAAACAAACAGAGCACCCTTAAAAACTGTTTTATTATGTTTACAGGGCTGTAAAAGCAAACACATTTTAGCTTTTGCATTAGGAAAATTTGAGCTTATATTTTTTGAGCTTATATGTTTTTTTTAATGTAATTAATTGCATATTAAAAAATTTTGCATATTGCATAAATGCATATTTTAACATTTTATTTAAAAAAGCAAACTATGCATAATTAGAGGTGTTTGTTAAGTCAAGCATCACTGTTAATATTGCTATCTTTTTAAAGTAAACATTTTAAATAAATGGTATGATATTAACATTTTTTTATTAAATAAATGGTAGAGCACCCTCTAAATCGGTTTGATCCATAATGTCTTGGAGAGTTAGATGGACCTGAAATGTAAAAATAAACAGTCATGTGAGATACGGCATAATTGATACATTAATGGCAGACAAATAATTGATTTATTTAATTGACTGTGCAAGAAAATTAAGCTTTTTTTTTGTCCAAAATATAAAATTTTGGTTTTCTTTTGACATGCCAAACATACATTATCTCTAATATTCCCTCTCATTATGTTTAGGCTATTTTCATTTCAAGCTTATATTTCTAAAAAGAAATTAAAAATGCACATTTTAAAATTTAATTTAAAAAAGCAAACACACTACTATCCATAATTAGTGGTGTCTGTTAAGCGAAGCATCACTATTAATATTACAGTTTATTTTTAATAAATTCATATTTAAAATAAATAAACTGTATAATATTAACTCTTTTTTTTTTTTTTATAAATTTTTTATAAATGCTAAAGCATCCTTTAAATCAGTTTTAATTTCTAGGAGAGTTGGACGCCTCCGTTGGACCTGAAATGTAAAAATGTAATTAATAAATAAAGGACACATTTTTCTGGCATGCAAGATAATTCATGCATATTTTTTGTGGCAGTAAGAATATTGCATTGTTGTATATTGACAAACGTACATTATCTCTCATATTCACTTTTATTATGTTTACAGGGCTGTAAAAGCAAACATTTCAGCTTCTGCATTAGGCAATTTTGATTTGAAGCTTATATTTTTTCAAATGGAATTAAAAATGCACATTTTAAAATACAATTTCAAGAAGCAATCACGTTATCCATAATTAGTGGTGTTTGTTTGGTAAAAATCACTATGATGCACAACCTTGAGTGGATTATTGCAATCAAAGACAACAAATAGTCATATTCATTACAAATAATAATGCATATACTTCATTAGCAATGCATCAAAATATAATATATATATATAATAATAAAATCTTTTTTTCACAAGTACGTAAAGTATTATAATCAAAGGCAAAAACAGGATTAAAAAATATTTACAAAACAGTCTGTTTTGAAAGCTAAAAGAACTATTTTATCGAACATTTTGCTCAGTAAACTGTTCAAATGAAAAGGTGGATCAAGGTTAAGCTGCGTTTAGAAGTCCCTGAAATTAACCTGAATAAACTGAATTTGTGTTTTGTTTCTAATCCTAGTCTGCTGCCTTCATAGGGAGCTAAAACTGAATGCTCTACATTGTCTGCAACTCATACAAACTCATAGTTAAATGAAACACACTCAAGTTTGGCGTCTAATTTAAATGAAATAATCTAATAAGAATAGCAATGCAAAGAACACGTAAATGTAGGATTTCAAATAAGGATATAACCAACATTTCTCTCGGATGGATATTATTTTACTGCGCTTGTTGTAGTGCATTCTGGGACTGCTTTCAACGCAAAGGATAAATGCAACGCTGGCTAAAAGAAGGTGTCTTAAAAGGCAGCATAATATTGTTACCGATCCACCTGCGTGTCCGGAGCATCTAAATACACACTCTTTACTTTGATCACAAAATACAGTAAAAATTGTGAAACATTATTACAATGCAAAATAGCTGTTTTCTATGTTAAGAGGGCTTCTGACAAATTTAAAGCATCCTCGATGAATAAAAGTATTAATTTTAAAATATAATAGTAAAATTTTTTTTTTCAGCATTTCCAACATTGATAATAATCAGAAATGTTTCTTGAGCAGCAAATCAGCATATTAGAATGATTTCTGAAGATCATGTGACACTGAAGACTGGAGTAATGATGCTGAAAATACAGCTTTGATCACAGAAATAAATTACAGTTTAACAGATATTCACATAGAACATTGTTATTTTAAATTGTAATAATATTTCACAATTTTTACTGTATTTTTCATCAAATAAGTGCACCTTGGTGAGCAGAAGAGACTCTTTCAGAAACATCTCCATGTTTTCAAACTTTTGAGCACTAAACAAACACAGTAAAAAGTGAGTGTAATTTTAACTGTAAAATATTGTAAAAACGCTACGGGAAGAAAAACTGTTAATAGGTTAAGTTCCCGTATTATATACAGGGAAACACTGTAAAAGATCTAACCAGACATTTCATGTAATTTTACAGTAAAATGCTGTTAATTGTAACATTTTTAGAAGTAAAAAAAAGAACAAATCAGCGTATAATTTACAGTAAAAAACTGTAAACTGATATTCCCAGAATTCCCTGCGTGACACATTTGAAAGTATTTCTTAAGTTTCTTAATAGTTTATCATGTTTGTTATCAGTTCTGTACATGTGGGTTTATGTCACATCTTCTGTTGTTTAATGAATGTTTATTGCATTATTTAAGTGTCATTTTTGTTACCATAATGGTGTTTAGTGTTTGTGTGAATGACTCTGTGCACCTTCTATATATTAGTATATACTTCAGCTTGTGGAAAAGCTTCTTGTGATGAACTGATTCTTCATATTGCTGTCTCTTTTACCACCTGCATTATTATGGTGACTGACCGTTTATGTTAAAGATACAAAACAGATTGTGCAGAGTGTGCATTGTTGAATCTACTACTCAAATTTTCTTGTTTGTAAGTTACAGTTTTATACTGTAAAATTTACAGTTTGTTCTGTAAATGTTTTTACAGTTTTTCTGTATTTTTTACAAAATTATTCTGGCAACCACAGCTGCCAAAATTATTTTTTAAAAATTACATAATTTTTTTTTTTTTTTTACTGTAAACCCTTCTATCTCTTATTAGACTGTTCATTTGTTTTTCACCTCCCATCATTCACAGACATAAACAGCTAATGTTGAGCTGTTTGTGTCTTCATAAAGCAGATGGATCTGCTCCTGTTTTCTGATTGGTTAGTCCAGTAACAGCTGTTTAGCACCACAGAGACTAACTATTACTAGTTTACATGACAGCACTAAACCTTTATAAACCTCGCTGACTAAAGTATAAAGTAAAACTAATGCTGAACCTTCAAAATATAATGCATTTTACATAATTGCATGATCAGGTGTGGAATATTTGTATTTATGATTTTTTTTGACATTCTCTTGCATTTCAACGAAAATATTTTTAATGATTATGATTTGCATGTAATTTAATTCAGCAGTTTGGAAAAAAACTGTTCTAGCAGGAGGATGATATTTACTGAATTTTCTTAATAAAATGACATTTTAATGAATATTTGTGGAATACATAATAATAGTATTTATTATCTGTATATAAAAAATATGTGTAGAAACAATTTTAACTCAGCAATTGCTAATAAATTTAACAAACAGTTACAAAGAAGTGGCAATTAACATTAAATTAAACATGAAACTTTGAAGTGGAAAAAAATATTTTCTTGTGTATGTATATTTGATTGTGTTTTAAATGAGTAAAACATTTTTACTGACAAATGGTGAAAACCTAGGATAGTGGCAAATTTTAAAAATGTAAAATTACAACTAATTTGTATTTGGGGTGAAAGTAATTAGTATTTTAATATGTCATAAATTGATTTTTGTTGTAAATATGCCTGACAAGATTGTTACACTGAATGACATTTTAGTGGGTGTCTTCTGTAAATCAGGGGAAAATGTATGATATTTATTTTTTGCTCAGAAAAGCAATCCTTCAATTCAGCTTCAATGAAGTCTCCTCCTGAGCTATGAAATTTCATAATTTTAATTAAAATAAAGTAAGATAAATAAAAAAGATTTGAGACTGCCTAATGTTTGGTTTACGTCTGACTCCCTCCACACTGATATCCAGACGTCGAGTCTCTGGCGTTTCTGCAGGAATGTCTGCGAAGAAGATTGTTCTTCTGTGGAAGTCGTCAGCATTCGGCGTTAAGCGTGTTTATTAGCATGTTTGTTTAAGAGCGGTAAAGACAAGCGCTCAGGTTTGTTTTCTCTTGAAGCTTGTT